TGGTAATCTGTGGGTTGCTTTTGGGTATTCCTGTAGTTAAAAACTAGCGTGGGCATGTTTGTTCTTACCTTGATGGACTGGTGACCTGTCTAGGCTGGACCCTGACTCTCTCACCCAATTATAGGCAGCAGCCCTTCTAAGATAATGGGAGGAAAAGCAGAAAATTGTTAAATGAGGAAGTTATGACCCCTAAAAAAACCGTTGCGCCTCGGGGGCTTCCTCACGGTCCTTTTCCTGGGAGCAAGTTATTCACTACTCTTAACTCAAACTGAGTAAAACCATATAAAAAAGGACTATAAAACAGGAGTAAAAAGTAACAGAGTTTATTCCAGATCAGGTCGTTACAGGACAGAGAAAATGCTTGGAGCTGCACAGCTGTGGGCTCAAAAATCACGTCTGCGAGCGTCCGGCAAAGATTGAGCCCCGAACAAGGTCATCTCCTGCTTCTTAAAGCTCATGAGTCTATGTGTTGGATCATGTGGATGCTTAGCTGTCCGTATCAGAAACTGACATGCCTTCAATGCCCTGACCTATATGCAGCTTGCTTCTATGCTTCAGGGTTACAGATAACTCTCCTCTATCAGACCGGCTCCAAGATGTGACCATATCCTGTGTGTTTTTTAAGACACGAAGGCTGTCCTGATTAGATGACCTCCGTACACACAGTGACATCCACCATGTGAAGGAAGGCCTTCTACTCTGTCTAATCAGACTAACAGAATAACAACGCACATGATGTATAAAGAATAAACCTAACAAAATGAATGAATGGAAAGTATTGCATCACTTTTATTTCAAGACGCCTGTGAGCAAAATTAACATACTTGCATGTATGTTAAACTACTCTTAATCTACCACTGCACAACAAAATCACACATCCAAGAGAAACTGTTGCTTCGAGAGGAGAAAGTCGCTCTCTGCATTAAAGGCTGCACTGACTCTTTCAATGTCAGCATGGATGTTAAAATCTCCCACTATGAGGATCCTGTCAGTATTTAATACCAAATCCGAAAGGAGAGGGTTTCTGGCTTTGCAATTTGGATGAGGGAAACTAAGGGGTTAAACCAGGCATCCCCAAACTTGGTCCTGGAGCGCCGCTGTCCTGCAGGTTTTAGAGTTTTCCTTGTTCCAGCACAGCTGATTTTAATTGAAAGCTGATTAACAGGCTTCAGCTCTACTGCAATCATGATAATCAGCTGTGCTAAAGCAGGGAAACCTCTAAAACCAAACTAAACGTTTGAAAGAGTTGTAAGTATTAACTGCCTTTGGAGCAGAGATGGCAACAGTACTCACTTTCCGTACTTGAGTAAAAGTACT